TATTGGTGGTCTCTTATACACATCTAGATGTGTATAAGAGACAGTAGTAATACTAAAGTATATATATATGGTATTTGGCTAATAGAAGGCTAAAGTTACGACGGGATTTTTAAGGCCTAATATCTTTACTGTATGTATAAAAAAAGGTTTATATCAATGACATATGCTAATAAATGCCTTAGTAACAGTAGTTATACTAACACTACGTCTCAATCAATTGATTTTTTTTAATGTTGTAAGTTCATAGTGGTTTAATTTTAAGGGCAGTATATGATGTTTCTGACTGCCCAATTCACCACCAGAAGGACCCCGAAACAAGTCTTCAGACTTCCTGGGTTATCCTTGGTGTGATTCACACCGAAATACTTATTTATGTTTATGTTTATTGATATTTTTTTTTCTGTTCCTTGTGCAGTGTATTGGTGTATGGCTTTTGATAATGCTGTATTTTGCTTACGTGCGCTATAATCATTTTAAAAATGAATGCTAAATAGTTTGTTTTTCTATTTTATATATATATATATAAATCAAGGTAGCCGTTAACACTGTTAAATCATATATAAATCATCAAAGAAAGGTGAATAAAGGACTTAATAAATACATCGTGTAGCATAGCTCTCAACGAATGTAGTCCTGTAAATAAATGAATAAAGAAATTGTGTAATAAAATGCCTCTGGCGGGACTCGAACCTGTGACCTCTCGCTGTCAAGGCGAGTGTCATAACCACTAGACCACGGAGGCTTCATGGTTGAACAGATTCAAATACCACCAGATACACTTTATTACACAATAGTTACGGCTAGAAACAAATAGGTGCATATAATATAAATCAATTATATGCACCTATTTGTTTCTAGCCGTAACTATTGTGTAATAAAGTGTAAAACTATTTATTTTTTGTCAGCAACAAAAACTAGACAGCAAAATGGCGAATTCATTTAAGTATTTTAAGTCGTGTTAATAGACAAATTTTCATTTTACATTAAACTTTAGCAATATGAGCCCTATATGGAATTCACATGCGAGAATTACCTATATCAGGCCCTTTAGTATGAAAAGGGCTCATCATTTACTGGGATAAAGAAATGATGAAATGCTAAGCATATGTACCATGACCAGTCACCATTGCAAACCGAAAAATAAATCAAAGGCCTGAATGTCATTAAACCATTAGCCAAAAAAACCGAAAGGTAGCAACACAATCATTGGTAACATATACAAAAAAAAAAAAAAAAAAAAAAAAAAATGTGGCTATTTTCTACCTGCATTAGCGTGATTTTTTTTCTCAGTATCGTGTGATACCGAAAATTATTTACCTTTTATTTGTTAGGAGGGTATTTTTCGTTCCTCCAAAATATAGCCACAGACTTTCGCTTTTACTTTGAGATTTTTTTTTCTTGTTACTATATTTATACTGTAGAAGGTGACCCTTCCAGTGTATCCTTGAAGGTCGGCTGATATTCATAGGCCCTCTTTTTAAGTAAATGTGTGATGCTTTAATCAGAGAAGTGTCTTTATGAGGCTTAGGGAGTGGGGATGTTCCTAGTCGTGATAAAACGTCCTGTTGTCGCAAAAATTGAACCCGCACCCTAGGATTAGAAGGCAAGCATCTTAACTACTATTCAACTCCACTATTCAATGACTACATTTTGTCTATTTAGTGACAATATGTGCTTGATGAATATGGGATCATTCGGGTTTTTTTTGTTGTTTTTTTTCAAATTGCATTTTATAGGTCTACACATGTTTAAAACAGAACAATTACCTATACCCACATGGTAAGCGCTTATGAAAATATTGACATTGTTTAGAAACAAAAAGCAAAATAATAGGAAATAACGAACCTTTGTGTTTTATTCACGTATTATACAATACTCCATTCACGTTGGACTTTATGAGACATCGGTAAAACATGCTGCAAACAAAACAGATCTGGCACGTGAGGTTATGACGTTTCTCAATGCCAAGAGCTTTTTTCATTTTTTTTTTATTTTGTTAAAAAACTATAGGTCTATTTATATGGTAGCTTTTGAATTAGCCTAACCACAATTTGACTAATTTCTGTTAGCTAAAAATCATTAGGATGAATTAGCACCCTTACAGTAACATGGCTTTTATGTTTCGTGAAATGTCAATTTAAGATGTTGATAGGCCTATACTTTTTGGGAATTTTTGAATTAATATTATCGTACTGTTATCCCAACACTATACCAAAGGTACTTTCGTTGTAGACTAGCTTTCCAAATATTACAATTATGTTAATAATTTCCTGAAAATATAAACTTTTAGCCAAATTTACAATACATCTTCACCAGGGTTTATTTTCTTCTTTTATATTACATTTAATTAAAGCGGGACAAGATTGCATTCTGCATCCTCTTAACGAATTAATTGATTTACACTTATAATTAGTAACACAATAAATCATACAAATCGTCAATAAGTCTTTAGAGACTCCAATTAAAATAATAATAAATAGCAAAATACCTGTACTATCGAAAAACAGGGGGTCGTCTTATACGCGCGACATACACATATATTTAATATTTGAAATCATCTCCGTTAGTACGAATTAACGCAATTTTAAATACTGAGAATTACAATTTTGAGTAACAGTTAAAACTTCATATTGTATTATTTAAAAGATTATCCATGCAGTTGGCACCGTTTTTAGTCAGCTAGATGCAGTATCAAGACAATAAAAAGCAGTAAAATATGAATTCCGACCGAGAAACGGGGGTCGTCTTATACGCCCGACATACAAAAATCGTTCTAAAACCTTCTCAAACTCGGGGGCCTTCTGATACGCGAGTCGCCTTATACGCGAGTATATACAGTAATTGAATCAATTTTAATAACACCATAATAATTTTTTATAGGAAAATAAAGCAAAGAAAAATTCGCCTTTCTAATGTTTTTTAGTTGAAAGTGATCAAATCTGTATTTATATTCAATATATGGGTTGTTGGCTTTTATATTGATTCTATTTGGGAAATGTTAGCTTGATGGATTCCAGACAACCGTGGAGTATTCAAGTATTGTACGTACGAGTGCGTTACATAAAACAAAAGAAAACAGGGTGGCGATTACATGTACGGTACCTTAAACAAATGTCGAGTGGAACTGTTGCATGGTGGCCTTTCAATTACATGGTCCTGTGTACAATTCCTGTCAGCATAACGCAGGATTATTTCTCCAAATATAATTCCACACCCATTATAAGTTTATATAAATCTTGTCTTGTCTACTAATTATCTTAAAAGCATTACTTCTTAGTAAATTGATTACCGTACATATCCTATTGGCATATTCCTGGCCTTGTGCTTAAAAATAAATTGATTAATATCTTCACCAGATGCTTTATATCTCCACTACATTTTGGTGTAAACAAATTACTGATTAACAAATTCCAATCTCAATAATTTATCTGTTCAATACACATCTTTAAATTGTACTGCATCATTAAAAACCTGGTTTTTTTTGTCTTTTTTGTAATTAGGCCTACTATAAACAAGTATTTATTTATTTTTTAATAACTTGATTAATTATCTCAAATATGTTACTAACGTTTTAATTTGATTACTTCTGATGGACGGCAACCTTCGGTACAAGATATTTCCTTTATTAAGCGTGTAAATTTGAAGGTAACAACTGCTTATTGACACCTTCAGTCTAAGGTCACGTATAATTGTTTCCTTTCTCTTTCAGACACCAGAACATTCTTTGTATGATTTTTTTTTCCTGCCGGACTGTTTTCTTCTAATTTTTAAGAAGTTGGGCAGTATCTTTTAAATTTAAAAATTCAAGGCGACTCAAGAAGGATAGTAACTTAAATAAGGATCAAGTATATCACATTAAGTTTCATTGTTCAATATATTCAGAAGCTTGTACAGCGTTCTTTAAGGGACATACATGCTATATTGCACACGGGACCTACTTCTTAAACGTCTTTTAAAGAGACGGGGTGTTTGTTTATACTTGCATTTTAGAACATATTCCTGTAAATCCAATTTTTATTTATCAAATCTGGGGAAAAAACTGCCAACTGATATTTAACAATTTCGTTATTACCAGTCTTTAAACAGAGCAAAGTGTATCAGATTTTTTTTGTTTTGTTTTGTTTTTGTTTAACAATCGTGTATTTAGAAGCTCTCGGACCAGATCCTACAACTAGATCACCTTCGAGCAATTTTGCAGTCTCCCAACCAGGAGTCTATTTCATTCATATCAAAATAGTTCATCGAGTGGAAGAAATGAAACGAAGTGAAAATGAAGAAAAAAAAATGAAAATGGTAGTTAATTCTAAGAGATAATAAAAAAGAAGCATTTAACTTTTTATTTTTGCTTATTTTAATTTATTTACATGTTTCAATGTTTTAAATTTTCTTTTATTTAATATCTGAACATGGGTACACGTTATATCATATTCTTAAATATTATTTTAAATATGGGAACATTGAGATTTACAAATACACTGAAAAAAATTCTTATGGGATACTCGCTAAAAACCAGACAGAGTGGATTAAAATTAAAGTACTGATTTCAAAGGCATGATATTTTAACTACTGCAATACCAGAACACAGTTATACACACATTTTGTTATGCTATTATATTTGTCAATTAAATGTTATATGTAATTACATTTGTTTACTGGGTAAATCATACGTAACAGCAATGTAAACAGGCCACCAGATTAATTCGTTAAAAATAAGTATAGCAGGATTCTACCATTTATCGAATGGGTTATAACGTTCGAAGTTTGATTATAAGAATACATAAATGTATGAATAAAACATATCCTAATTGAAAGTAAGTTTTATTTTCATTTTGAGAATATTTTTTTTCTTCTAATCAGTATGATAATCGGCTATTGAGTACTATAGAATTGTCACTTTGAATATTTAATGAGGAGGTGGGAACAACTACGTAACAGTGAGTCATAGCTATGGCACAATAGCGCTAATCTATTGAATTGCTATGCCTTGCAGTATATTACGCTTCAACAAATTGTGATTCTGTCATTTGCATGAGAACTACGCGGCATTTTGTATATTATACCATCCACGACAGCAGGATTTAAAACGTACTTTACCAACAAACATGAGATCCACTTACTTCATTCTTGGACTTTTTTTAATTCACATCTGTGCAGGTAAGCTTATAATACTACAGGTATGATCCAAACAATTAGAAAAAACTGTCACAATGCTATATTCAAGTAGAAACGACACCATCTCTTTGATGATACCAATAACCTATCGACTACCTGTTGGATCGAGCAGATTTGGTCGATGGGAAGACAAAAAAAAATCAAATTTCTGTGATTGTAGATATAGCAGTCAGGGCAACTCTGAGAACTGGATTTCTTTCCCGGGTCTGCTGTAAAACTCGTATTATAAACTGATAAACTGTCGAATTGAAAGTGCTTAAAACTTTTATTTTGTTTTTTAGTCAATCCGTTTTATGATGTAAATATTTTCTTTAATGCATTGAGATATTTAAATAAAAACATTTTCATTGAACATACAATAATTCACTAAAATATATTTTAAATCATTTAACTTGTTTTTATAATGCAATATTGCATACACACCCTAACTAATGTATTTTTTTATGTCTATGTGAAGTTATATAGGCCTATTATTATGGTTTTGTACATAGAGACCTATTTCGACAGTGTTATGTTTTGTATATATTAAGTGTTGTCTATGTGAGTATAGTTGTGTATATGAATACATTATTTTATTCACTTAGGAACTGTCTCAAAGTACATAATTTAATAATTTAGCTTATACAGGTATCGGTCTAGACTCCTCCAGTAAAATTTGTACAACCGGAAGTGTGCATCCCACTAGAATACATCATGACGTAGGCCAGGGTAACTTATGTTACATTATAAGGCCTACGCATTCAACGAATCAAATATGTATTTTTACATCCACCTCCCATTAGATTGTACCTAGAATACAGAGGTTAAAAATGATAGCTCTGTGTCGTTCAATGTTATGGTTGTATTTAGATTTGTATCCCTATCATTAATTTTTATGCCTACTGCACTCACTATTGCATACATTTTTCTTGTCAAACCGTTTTTCTCAATTCCATGTACAGTGTTTGTTAATGCTGCACCTTCTTTTCATCCTTAATCACACAAACCTAGAAAAAATTCCTCCATGAAATAGCGGCTTAATAATAGAAGAGTAGCTGAAGCATGCTATATACGGCAGTGTAAAGACACCCACAGTCTTATTGTGACGTCGAAGTTTACTTTACAGGATTTAGTGAGTTTACAAAGAGGGTTTCTTTCGTCACTTAAGCAGCATAGCTTATTTGACAATAGTGCCTAAAGTTAAAATATTTCAATCCGTAAGTACCGAAATGACGAACTTGGCAGACATATTGTAAATAAGCATAGCCTAATTGGAATTTGCTATAGACACAAAACTCTATCCAGATTATCAAATTAATTTTTCTTGACAAAAAAAAGGGGAAAAAAAACTGTTGAATGCCCATATATAATCATGATGTGCTATATATGGTCATGCCATCATGACCATATTTAGGCATGTCACATGTTTTGTCAAATCAAATTTGATAAGTCTTGACATTTAACTTGAATTGTTCGAGGTACATCTTCTTGTTTTAGGTTATTCAGTGTCACAGAAAGTGTTTTTGAAATGTTTTACCTAGGAAATATCTGATTAAATAATAATTCCTAGAAATAATTAAAATTTTCGAACATAAAATAAATCATAAAAATTCAACTGAGATGACTACCGTATAGATTATTATGTCTATGCTTGGAATATTATCACAAGATGGCAGTTCATTGACGTATTCAAGGATCTAGCTAATGATAATGATAATTGCTTGAATCAACACTTCTAATAATCTACCCGTTATTAAAGGGAACACTCTGAATCACAACACCTATTTTTAATATGAATTAGAAACGATAATTCTTTCCAGGATAGATGTCTTTACCTGGATTAAACTATACGGAAACCTTTTCATTCAATACTATACAATACTAACCACAAGGTGTTCAATTTTAATGGGTGCACCGCTGTGGTTCAGTCATTTATCTGTCGTCGCCATCATCAGTGCTCTGATGGTGCTATTAGGCAGGGGAGGGGGATGGTATGTTTTTATACCTCTCTGATTAAGGTTCCTTTCATCATATGAGGCCGCATCAAACACTTCTACATATCAAAGCCCCCAAACATTTAAAAGAAATATAAAAATATCCCTATTTAATGATTATCCGTGTGTGCCCTGAGGACTAGCCATGCCCATCAGTGCTAGCTATTTATTTAAAATGTCAAGAAATCTGTTATAACACATTTGACCTACTGCCAAAATACAGTACCAAATAAACATAATAACTATTTCCTTTGATTAATAAATTATTTATTAGCCTATGAATACATATAGGCCTAATTGGCCAATAGGTATATATACAATGTATGTACATGTAAATGAAAATTTGACAATAAGTCTATGCTTCTCACAGGCTTTTGTATGTATTGACTTCATATTATGTGGAGTATTGCCAACCTATTGGCCTAAGTATTTATATGTTCCTGCTCAATACAATGTCTACACATTGTATGCAGTACGTTAGTGCATAACAGCGTTATGTCTATACAGTACCATTTTTGCATAGGCCTATAAAAAAAATGTGTTTTATTGATTCCAATCAATACCAACATTTAGGAACATATTCAATATCAGTTAGTCTTAACTATACAATGCAGATCCATCAGTCATGTGGCTCCGAATTATTTGTACGGAATTGAAATGACTTAAAATCTGAATGATATTATTATATTACTCAGTTCTTTGTAAAGTTATCGATTTTTCGTTAAAGGTATCCTCTTTGTAGCAGTTAACATGTGCAATGGAGTATAATGACGGGGGCCATACTAGTGTGATTGAATCAATTAAATATTGAGGATTGACTACTCTAGGCCTACTTTAGGTTTACGTTTCGCACCTAGAGTACTAAATATAGGTCTTATGGGAATGTGCTAATGAAGTCAACATCATACATACCCTTTCTGTCTGTTACCATGCTTGTGTAATGTGTACAGTAATGTGTTTCTTTTTAAAGTCAGTTCGCTATCTGAGCATTGGTTTAACGTTTCTCTTACCATGATGGAGATATTGTTAGCTCTTTAAAGTTTGTCGGGGTTACGTTGTTATTATCCTTTTTCTTCAACGATGTTCGTGAAACAAGTGCAATTCCAGAGAAAAATCTCGGTAGGGCAATGCGCAATGCGGTATGAAGCACCGAGCCGAGCGGTGGAAAAGTGGGGAGGGGGGTGGGGGTTAGTTGGTTTGACATTGTCGATTGTATATAAAATGAATAGGCCTACGAGTACACAAATTACAACCTTCATAGAGGTATCATGCAGCGCGTTTAATACCACTTTTTTTTCTTTCTTTCCCCTCTTCCTATATTCTTTTCTTTAATTTTCTTTTTTGAGAAGGGGGTTGGGCTGGATCTGTCAACTTAGCTACATGACCTATTAATCTCCACATCAAACAAAATAATAATAAAGTAAACAGCGGCCCTTGTTTAAATCAATGATTATGCGTCATGCCTGTGGGGTGGGGACCTGTGGAGCGTCATGCAGCATCTACAATGGCTACTACAGTTGGAAACTTTCGAATAGTGTACCAGATTGGTTTTTTTTTTCGTGCACACGGAACCAACGGCTTAACGTCCCAGTCGAATCCAGAGGATGGGGGTAATTAGCGTTCGGTGCCTTATCCAAGGACACAAGCCACTCGGTCCTTCTCGCATTACAGTCCAATTCCTTACCGCGATAACTCTACCTCGATCCTGTGTCCCCGCGTGATAGACTTTCGTCTGAGTTAGTGTGATACGTAGGTGTGGTGTTGGTTGCCTGCTCATGAAATCAATTTACGATCAGGAAGCAGTTGTATTGTAGTTAAAGATTGATTATGTCTCCATTCGCCGGAACTATGCTTGTTAATAAGTAGCAATGCAGCTACTGTTACACATTAGATTACATGCTTCATTGTGAAAATGGCAAGATGTGTTATTTCAAAACTGATATTGTTTTTCAGACATCTGGCCTAACCTATTTGGCCTGTAAGATAAAAAACCTCAAACTTCCTTTATAAATATGCTATGAGTGATATAGATATGACATGACGTTCTTAAACATCTTTGTATAAGGCCTGGTTGTTCCTGTCTATTATACAGTATAAGTTCCGTCTTGTAGCAGGCAATTATTTAACCCATCATGGATAAAATGCCGAAGTAAAACTATGTAACATAGGAAAATGTGGATGAAGAAGCCAAAAAAGTGACTTTCATCTCTCCACAATTTAGGTCTGAAAAAGGTATAAAATAAGGCCTACATGATAGTGCAGAGCAAAGGCCATATTATGCGGCCCACTGTCGGCTCAAGATATAAAACAAGCAGCTATCCACTGGATTATTCCAGCAATCACACGGTCACGGCAGCTCTTTTGAAATGCTAATGAAATGAACGTCCTAAATTTAAACCAACCTCTTAAGGGCATTCATAATAAATCAGACAATAGGGGTAAACTCTGACCCCAGAAAACTAAAAGTAATCAATATCACTGATGAATACCTTATTTTTGTAGGCTATTGTAATTTCATTGAACCTAAAACATAACTAACGGAAATATGCGACAAAGAAGCCCGCAAATGAATTCAGTATTAATTAGTATACAATTGACTGTTCGTGTTAGGTATAAAAACAATTTTACGCGTTCAGTAAGTTGATGCTTCCGGAACGACGAGACAATATAGCCCTATGTCTTACTAAGTGACTGGGATGCGGCATGGTTTAAGAACAATAATAATTTAATAATAGGCCTAGGCCTACCCTCGCATTTACGGTCATCTATGCAATGTCTGTTGACAAGATCAGGCTTAAATTCCTTGCTGTCTAATCACACACACGTCCTAATACTTTTAAAAAGGGCTGCTATCTCCCGGGCAACACAACATAAAATAATAAAATAGAGGCTCATTATGCATTTTCTGACAAATTATTGTGAATTAAGCAAATATTAAATTGTATTATTTTGCGGTTTATTTGTTCAATGCATGAGCAGTGTCCTCGGGAATCTACAGACGCATACATA